TTGTATGATGTCTTAGAACATATACATACTGTTTTCAGTCCGAGAAAATTTTTTATGGGTAAACACAGTCCGAGAAAATTTAATGGTATCAAACCATACCATTAAATTTTGAAAATTGTGAAGGAATACCAGCAGGGGCGGAGAGAGAGGGATAGAGGGTGGGTCCCGACTTGGGAGGAATAATGGTAAATTCGGTATAATATTTAATCAGGTAGGAAAAATAACACGTATTTAAATGAGAATGATTGATCATTTGAATATTTGATGTATGTTTTATAAGTTGTGTATTGACATATTTAATTTACCAAGGTTTTTGTAAATACAAAATTATATCAAGAATGATTTTAAAGCTAACAAAACTATGTTAACGTATGTATTTTTTCTCTAAAGTCTAAATGAACCCATCCTCCACAAAATCTTCACTACGACCCCTGAGTACTAGTAAAGTAAAATTAGAGCACAAGATACTATATAAGTCAATCAAATGTGCATAATTCTATTTTTCCGTGTCCAATTCACTAACAGAGAAACGAAAAAGCCAACTCAGCTTTGTTCGGCCTGAAAGAACCCCAGTTCGCTGACGCCAACCCTTTCACTCCGGCCGGCATTCTTTCCGCTGAATGCCTTGAGCTCGGCGAGTCGATTATAGGGTACGGCGACGGCCGTATCGGAGAGTCTATGTGGTATGTAGGCTATAGCTAAGCTAATGTTTGGGCTTCGACGATGAATCTTTGAGGGAAGATGAAGAGTGGAACGCGTTCTGGGAGAAAGGAATCTGGCATGTTTTTGCGTATAAATCTTCTTTTTTTTTTTGTAAAAAGACAGACACCAATGGTGTCTAAATGATATTCCTAATTAAACGTTCTTGGGTAATACCCAATACATCAAAAGAAATCCAGTGACTAAGTCCTGGATCGAACACATCAATAGGATGTGATCCAAAAGGAAGGGAGTGACCCAAATTAGCTAAGAAATCAGCAGCACAGTTGCACTCCCTATACACATGTTTGATTTGAACCTCCCAATTCAATGAGAGCAATCTATTAATTTCCATCGCAAGCAGGCCATATCTATGGTCGACCTCCTCCTTCTTCAAAATGATACTGATCGCTGTCAGGGAGTCGAGGCAGAGCACCACTTTCTTGAAGCCTCTTCTCCACGCAATAGCAAGCCCCGTTTCGGCAGCCTTAAGCTCTGCTCTTGTGATTGAGCAATTTCCCATATTGATGGCGAAAGCCTCCTGACACCGTCCAAGGGTGTCACGGATTAGTCCACCACCAGCAGCCTTCTCGTTTCCTGCACAAACTGAGCCATCAGTATTGATCATCATCCATCCCTCATCAGGTGGACTCCAGGACAGATGATTCAACACCCTCTCACAAGGGTTTTCAGTAGAGATCCTGCTGTCAAACATCCTGGTTTTCCTCAAAATACAGAAGTACGAGAGGATTCTTGAGAGGAGGGATTGCTCGCAGTATTTCTTTCCATCCAGCGCCTCTTTGTTCCTTTGCTTCCAAATATGCCAGAGAATGATCCCAAAGTCGATTCCCTTCTCATCATTCCTCATGTTGGTTCCAATCCATTCGTTGAATGTCAGCGTATGGTCCCGTGTCGTGATTGAGTGGCAAAGCCGATTCCAGAGAGTCTCTGTTTTTTGCATCTTCTCAGTATGTGCTCTGTGGTTTCTTCTTCTCCGTTGCAGTCTGGGTTCGGGCATCTTCCATCGTTCGTTAGCTTCCTTTTAACTCTTTCATGGTTGGTCAGGAGCTTTTCCTGCTTGGCAAGCCAAAGGAAATGCTTGATTCTATTAGGGCCCTTCCACTGCCAAAAGTCCTTCCATTCGCCATCTTGGGAGCACTCCATCTCCTCCGCAACCAATTGGTAAGCAGACTTAAGTCTAAACCTGCCATCAATTTCAAGGCCCCAAATGGTCTTATCCTCGCCAAGATCCTGCTTCGGTGTTTCAGTACCTGCAATGAGGGAGAGAACCTCATTAGGTAATTTACAATTCAGTTTGTCCCAATTCCAGTTTCCAGAGTCAGTGATAAAACAGCACACAGGTTCATCCCTTTCTTCATCATCAATGTCAGTGAGTAGGAAGTCTTCAAGAACAATCCCCGCATCAATCCAGGCATGAGTCCAGAACGCAGTAGACTTCCCATCTCTGATACTTGAGCAGGTTGCTGATTTCATAAGGGGCATAGCTTTCAGGATTCCTTTCCAAAGCGAGGAATGGCAGCTCTTCTTCATGGAGACAATGTTGCCCTCTTTATGGTGGAAATATTTTCCTTGGAGCACCTGCACCCACAGGGATTTTTCATTAGTGAGCATCTGCCAAGCAAATTTTATCAAAAAGGCCCTATTGATGCACCTAGCAGATCGAAGGCCAAGCCCCCCTTGTTTTTTAGGTTTACAAATTTTATCCCAAGAAACAAGGTGGACTTTTTTCTGTCCCTCCTTAGTACCCCACACAAAATTTCTGACTTTTTTATCAATCTCATCACAAACTGACATGGGGAGAACAGAGGTTTGCATAGCATACACCGGGAGAGCATTAAGCACAGCAGTGGCAAGGGTAACCCTTCCAGCAAGGGAGAGGGTCCTAGCTTTCCAAGCATTCAGTTTTTTATCAATGGCCTCAAGGATGTATTTATAAGTGTTTCTATTAACTCTTCCATGCAGAACAGGGACACCAAGATACTTCCCAAGGTCATTAGTACTTTGGATTCCAAGTCTATTACAAATAGAGACTTTTTCCAGTTTTCTAACATTCTTAGAAAAGAAAGCACGAGACTTGTCCTTACTAATGAGTTCACCCGAGGCTTTACAGAAATTCTCAAAGCATCTCATCACAATATCAGCCTGTTTAAGGTTGGCTTCCGCAAAGATAACAAGATCATCGGCAAAAAACAAATGAGACAGGTCAGGACCATTCCTAGACAGTCTAATGGGTTTCCATTTACCATCCCTAACGTCTCTGCTAATGCAATGTCCTAAACGTTCAATGCATAAAGTAAAGAGGTAGGGTGAGAGGGGACATCCCTGTCTAAGTCCTCTGCTTGGTGTGAAAGGATCAGTCTCCCCACCATTCCAGAGTACTTGGAGCTCAGTGGTAGTAACACAGGCCATGATAATGTTGACTCCACCTTCAGGGATTCCCACTGCCTCGAGAGTTTCCTTAAGGAAAGTCCAGTCCAGCCTATCGTAGGCTTTGGCGAGGTCAATTTTAAGGAGCATCTGGCCTTTCTTTCCAGTTTTCCTTGCCATTGAGTGGACTGTCTCCTGCAAAAGAATGATATTATCAGTGATGTTTCTCCGAGGAACAAAGCTAGACTGATTAGGCATAATAAGTGAGTTCATGAGAGGCTTAATCCTTTCAGCAAGACACTTGGCCACGATCTTGTAGTTGACGTTGCAAAGACTGATAGGCCGGAAATGGCTCATAGAGCTAGGGGCTTCAACTTTGGGAATCAGCGACAGAAGAGTGCCATTAATGCTTCTGATCTTTTCAGGGTTCATGAAGCAAGAGCACACAAAACGGAAGAGATCTTCTCCCACCACATCCCAGCACTTCTGGTAAAAGAGAGCATGATACCCATCTTTTCCAGGAGCTGCAAGGCCTTTCATCCCATTCATGATGGTTTTGATCTCCAACAGATGGGGCAACCGACCAATGCCATTGAGAGTCACCCTATCAGTTTCAGGAAAATCAGCAGCCACATCCAGACTCTCCTCTTGAGTATCTCTCAAGAACAGGCTGATGAAGAAGTCTCTGGCCATACCCTGGATGGATTCAGGATCTGTAATCCATTGTCCAAGGTCATTCTTCAAGCTTTTGATCTTATTCCTTGTTCTTCTAGTGAGGGTGCTCGTGTGAAAAAATCGAGTGTTTTGGTCTCCTTGTTCCAGAGACTCTACTCGTGACTTTTGAAACCACAACAGCTCTTCTTGCCAAAGCGTTTCTTCAAGTTTCTCACGGGTAGCTTGTTCCGCTTGAAGAGAGAATTCAGAAGGTTGCTTCCCATTTCTCCATTCCAGCTCTTCTTGCCAAAGCGTATAAATCTTCTGTACACACACATTACGTACTATTTAACTCACCTTGGAAAAGACCAACAAGGTCCCATATACCTCACAACGCAGGAACATTAATTGACCAAAACTTAAAAAGCATGCAAAACTAATTTTCAAGACACTTTCGTCATTTTAACCCTCACAAATTCCGCCCTCCCTTTTCAGTTTTTACATTATGAAGCGGCACAAAAAATCGTGTCGATCAAGTCAACGTATGGATGAACATGGCGAAAGAAAAGGAGAACTACCAAGAAAACCATTTCCTAGCTTCGTATGTAATGTACTGAACCAAACAGTTTCATTAATCGAAAAGGGTCAGAAAACCATTTCCTAGCTTCGTATGTAATGTACTGAACCAAACAGTTCCATTAATCGAAAAGGGTCAGAAAACCATTTCCTAGCTTCGTATGTAATGTACTGAACCAAACAGTTCCATTAATTGAAAAAGGTCTCTACTCTCCAGTTATTAACTCCACATGTGATTAGATACATTGAATAGTTTAATCTGCTGAGCAGATTAAGAGACTACTACCGGTATTTTATTTCCAGGTTTGGATTGAACATGGCGAAAGAAAAGGAACACCAAAAAGAACACCATATACTAGCTTCTTATGTAATATACTGAACCAAGCAGTTCCTGTAATCGAAAAGGATCTCCGCTCTCATGTTGTTAAAACTCTAGAGGTGATTAGATACATTGACTAGTTGAATCCAATAGAAGCCTAGCAGTTTGATTCAGGCACCAACTCAGAACAGAGGCTGAAATGAACAACATAAGGGATAGAGATCGAAAGGATCCGGAAAAAAATTTGGACCATTTCTCGATTTATGCGTGTCATCCTTGCGCAGGGGCCATGCTAATCTTCTTTGTATCGTTCCAATTTTATCGGATGTCCCCGAAGGGACAATGTTGTTTGTTTCACATGGCTTTATAAATGTTGGGTTCTTACTGAAGACAAGGGATGTGGTACATTGTAAAATGAAGGAGGCTTCTATGGCTCTATGCTATCTCCCTCCTGGTATATCTTAATAACGATAGTTCAAACAAGGAAAAAAGAACTGATAAAAAGCAAGTCTAACTAACAAACTAAACGCGCATAAGAACAAGAATGCCCAACTCTCCAGTACTTCCCAAGTTGTAAAGGCAAAAGACACAGTCTAATACTTTTTGGTAAACACAGAAAGGAAAGGGCATACATACCTTTAGTGCTGTTACTTAAGAGGACAACCCATATTTTCAGAACCAGGTCCTTCCCCAGCAGGAAAGTCTCAAACTTGCGTAAAGACCTTGCATTGCACACACATTTTTCAGCACCCTCCATTTCCTGCCAAAGAATCAAGCCTTGGAGTTTCGACGCTGCAAGAATGGGAGAGTAGTTGCAAATGGAATGAGATATGAAGCAACTGTTGATGAAGGTTTCATTCTATTCTGTGAAAAGAAGAACAATCTGCTTCGAAGGCACATGTGCATATCACAAGCAAAAGTAAGATACCATCGAATCAACCTGGCCACCTAAGCATCATTTTTCCCTGCTCTGTATTAAGCAGGCAAAAATCACGAACGAATACAGAAAAGATGGTTTCTTCTCTTATTTACTGAACCAACTGCTTTCAGCTACTCTCCAGTTGTGAAATTTCAGAGGATGAGCAGACCTATTTGGCTAACTGGAATCTAGTAGAAGGGTATGAACTTTATAATTGACATAAACACAAGCAATGGAGCTCGACTGTAGGACAAATGCAAACAGGATAAGAAAAAGTGGCAATTAGCCCAAGTCTTGTGCAAGATAAAGAACATGAACTACACTCTAGTTGTTAATTGCATGATGTATACAGTTATTGAATTACTGGCTCCAGTAAAAATATAGCAACTAGATATTAGCTCTACATATGAACAGTATTACTGAACAGTTCAGCAGATTATGAAACTACAACTTATGTTTTATCTCCTGGTTTGGATGAACATGGTGAAAGAAAAAAGAACCACTAGCAAGGGAAACAATAACCAAGCTTCATATCTAATTTACAGAGCCAAGTAGTTTCAGTCATTGAAAAGGATCTCCAGTTGTCTTCTAATTTTTTTTTTTTTTGTAAGGGTGAAAGTTTTATTAATTAAGAAAATAAAAACAATAAACCACCTCTTTTACAAGGCTTACACTCCAGTTGTTAGCTCCACAGGTTATTAGAATTATTGAATAGCTGAATCCAACAAAGGTCTAGCAGATTGATTATGGCAAAACATCAGAGCATAGCTCCAAAAGTCCATAACAGGCAAAGAAAAAAATGTGTAAAGGCCAAAGATCGGGAGGATGCAAAAAAAAATTTGGACCATTTCTCGATTTATGCGTGTCATCCTTGCGCAGGGGCCATGCTAATCTTCTCTGTATCGTTCCAATTTTATCGGATGTCCCCGAAGGGACAGCACTGTAAGTATCACATAGCTTTATAAATGCTAGGTTCCAGCTGAAGACAAGTGATGTGGTATATTGTAAAGAGGAAGAAGGCTTAGTGTGGTTCTGTAAAAAGCAAAACAAATCCATTTCCAAGGAACAGATGCATATCATAAGCACAAGTAAGCGAACAATCGAATCAACCGGGACATATTAGCATCTTTTCTCCCTGGTCCCTATCAAGCAGGCAAAAACATGAATAAAGAAAATATGGCTTCTTCTCTAGTTTACCGAGCCAAATGCTTGCAGCCATTCTACAGTTGCGAATTTTCACAGGATGCGCAGTCCTATTTGGCTAACTGAAATCTAGTAGAAGGGTAGGAACTTGATAATTGACTTAAACACAAGCAATGCTCCACATGGAGACACAGGTATTGAACGATTGAACTACTTCAGCAGATTATGAGAGCATGACTAAATGAACTGATCACTTACAGTAACTAAGATCATCTCTGGATTTTACCTGCATGATGAATAGAGTTTATGGAATAACTTGCTCCAGTAGAAGTATGGCAACTAGATATTGCCTGCTGCTAAAATCTAAGCAGCACTACCATTTCAGACACAAATTACAACCTGGCTGCTGTGGGAGGATGCAGAAATACAAGGAGGGCAAAAAATTCTCAATTTATGTTTGTCATCCTTGCGCAGGGTCATGCTAATCTTCTATGTATCGAGTATCGTTCCAATATTATGGGATGTCACCTAAGAGACAGCACCTTCACTTTGCTGCACAGAAAATCGATGCTCTCAACAAGTGATGTAGAAAATCTCCACTGCCACAAGGTTGTAGCTTTAGGACTTATTCTATTCCCATATCCCCCAAATGAACGCTGGTTGGGAAGGTCTGTTTGGGACGAAATGGGCCAATAAGAATAACGTCCTAACATTATTTAAGCAACACCAATAAACTAACCATCGGAAAGGCCACCCTTAACCCTACTGTAATTGAAATATATAGAGCCAAAGCATATATATCCAGTAGAAAAAGGAACAAACCTCGTAGAAGGGCTGAACTGTACAAAACCATGATGCCCTTCCCATTCAGATAGACAGGGGAATTTCTGAAACTTGTAACTACAAAAAGCATAGGTGTCCAGTGAGCAACAGTAAATCAATGAATCAAGATAAGAATAAAACACATTACAATCGCCAACGATCACTTCATTTCTCAAGCAGTGACACTCTTCGATTACCAACTTATTCCTATGCTTTAGGGGAAATGCCAAACTGGGTCGCTGCTCTATCTTGCATCAGAAGGCGATTGCTTGATTGGGCAACAAGTGAGGTGAAACACACAAAAAAACCCAGGGCAACTTTTCTACCGGCATGGTGGATAAAGCACCCAGGTAGCCAAACGCATTTCATACCGTTCCTTAGACAACATTGAAAGAAGAAGGAAGCAGAGAAGACCCAGAATTGGTTGCGTCGATCGGTTGCCGCCTTCTTCCAGGCTCCAACTTGAAGTTTTTTTTTACCGCGCCTGAGGTTTGCCGCCCACTAGAAGGCCAAAAGCTTACCGCCTCGATGTCGAACGACGTCTCTATTCTAGACTGGGCTGACAGACAGGACTTTCGCATCATGTCTCGCCTAGCCCATTGTAATTCCGTTTGGGCCAAAAACCCACAGTTTATGTTGAAGAAAGACGATGAAATTCCTGGGATTCCTTCTCAAGGGGTTGTCAACTTGTCATTGTTGTTGGAGTCTATAGATCAATGAGCAGAAACTACAAAGAAAAACTGAAACTTTTTGGTTATCAATCAATGATTTTGCTGTATCAAGTCTGAAGTTTTGGTTCCGACAAATATTCGAGTTCAATTTGCTTACTTATCATCACTATTGACTGCAGTTGTGAGAGAAGATAGAACCCATCTGAATCGAAAAAGTTAGTCTCCTAACATGCCATTATGTTAGGAGATACTGATAGGGTCAGATTTTGGGCCACGTGTGCTTGGGCTTCATCCAATGGAGGAGAGTGGTGGCTCACTTAAATGAGCTGGAGATGGGCTTCCGTGTAGAAGCCGGCCCAGCGTGCGGCGCAGAAGGAGAGCCGAGTTCGTGGCTGGTGGGCCAGGGATCAGTTTGGGCGGGATTTTGGTTTGGAGTGGAAAGCGTGGTGGGCCCGGCTTCAGTTTGGGCGCCAGTTTTGGGTTGGAGTGGAAAGAGAATGAAATTTTTGGGCCCCATGTGATATATATGTATGTTTGTTTGGATATTTATTTGTTTTCAGTGGATATTATTATGTGTTATGTTGATATTACTTTGAATCATTGTGAAGGATTGGAATATTGTTTCTTACATCAAATTAAACACACTAGGAAATTAAACACACTAGGAAGTCCTAACACGTAAGGCTTGCAACCTTAGTTAGGGCTGCCCGCCGAGGGCCCATGGGCCGAAGGCCCATTAAATAATAATAGTTTTATGGTTTAGAGTTTGTGTTACGGTTTTATGTTAAGGGTTTAGGGTATAGCTTAGGTTTGAGTTGATATTAGTTCATGTTTTCGAAATTTTCTTGGACTTTTGGATATTCTAATAGGGTTAAGGATTTAGTTTTTAGCGATTAGGGTTTCGGGTTTAGAAGGCAATATTGTGAAAATGGTTTTGAACACAATGTAGGGTAGTCGATTTTTGTCTGTGGTGATAAAATATTATTATGTGATCGGAGGATATTAGTTGGCGATGTGTGGATATTTTGGCTGTGTAGCAGGATATTAGTTTGTAACCGATGGATATTAGTTAGGGTTGGTGAGAATATTTATTATGGGCAAAACGAATATTAGTCTGGGTGTTGCAGATATTTTTTATGGTAGGAATGAATATTAGTCTGGGTGATGTGGAATTTTTTTTATGTACTACGGATATTGGGGCACTTCTGGTAACTATTCAGATGTGATCCTTTGTTTATTTTAGCATCTAGCATCACACACTTAGCCAACCATATTACACCAATTTACGGTTTAGCGGTTAGGATTTAGGGTTAAGGATTTAGTGTTTAGCGATTAGGGTTTAGAGTTTATGTGTAGTTGGTATTAGTCTGCGATGGTCAGATATTAATCTGTGTGAGGTGGGTATTAGTATGTGATGGACAGATATTAATATGTGTATGGTGGGTATTAGTTTGCTAAGGTGAGATAATAGTCTGGGTAGTTTGGATATTTGTTCTGTGTGGATGTTTATCTACTGATTTGTATATGATTACATCAATTTAGGGTTTAGTGTTAGGGTTTTGACTTTAGGGTTTAGAATTAGGGTTTGGAGTTTATGATTTAGGATTTGACTTTGGGGTTGAGGTTTAGAGTTAAGGGTTCAGGGTTCAAGCTTTGTGTTTAGTGTCTACGATTAGGGTTTCAGGTATAGGGTTTGAGTTTTGGTTTCGGGTTTAGAAGACAATATTGTGGAAATGATTTTGAACACAATGCAGGGTGATCAATTTTAGTGTGTGGTGATAAGATATTATTATGTGATTGGAGGATATTAGTTCATGATGTGTTGATATTTTTGCTGTGTAGCCGGATATTAGGCTAAGACATCCATATATTAATCTGTGTGTGGTGGGTATTAGTCTGTATGGTGAAGATATTGATTACGGGCTGACTCGATATTGGTATTAGGCGGTGGGATATTAGTCTGGGTGTTCTGGATTTTGTTTATGGTGAACGGATATTATTCTGGGTGGTTTGCATTTGTTTTTTTTGTGGATGTTTATCTATGTTTGTTTGTGTTGATATTTAGTTTAAGCAAATTCATAATAAAACAAAGTCGTTTTTCGATAAACTGCGATACAACTAGTATTTATTGTCATTCCAACTTGGCAATCCCATAATCTAAAATCTAAAAAAGTATAACTACATAAAAAAAATAGAAAAGGAATAGTTCAAATGTTGTCTTGCTTGTGCAAATTCTCGATTATCTTCTTTCTCATGTCCCTCCGAGCCCCCCACGTTTCGATCATGCCACGACGAGGTTGGGATGATCCTTCTCTTGGATATTTGTCTTTCTTGGATATTTGTCTGTGTCGTTTGGATATTTTTCTGTGTTGTTTGGATATTTGTGGAGATACTGACACGGCCCAGTGGAGTTTTGTGGGTTTTTTAGCCCAGCTGAGATGAAAGATGGAGCTGATGGTGGCGGCTTAGTAGGGTTTAGGTGGCAAGGGGGGAGAAATGGAAAGAAGGGGCCCAAGTGGGTCATTTATTTGGGGAAACAAAAATCAAAAATAGGAAATTCAAAGAAAGTGGAGGAATTTAATGCTCCCAACTACCCTACCCACCCAAACCCGAAAATTGCCTCTCTCTCTTCAAATTTTCTCTGTTTTTCTTCTCTTCCAAAGGAAGAAAGCCGCCGCCCAACTGTATTTTCCGGCGACCATCTTCTTTTCCGGCGACCATCTTTCCTTTCCGGCGACCTTCTACTATGCCGATCGACGACAATGGGGAGTTGGATGATCAAGGATCTTCTCCAATGAAGAAGGGTAAATCGATCCTACATCATAGTGAAGAAGAAGAACTCTATCCTACATCATATGAGTTTGTTGATGAAGATTCAAGTGGTGCTCGTGCCCTCAACGAAGAAGAAGAAGAAGAAGAAGAAGATAAAGGTTGATTGAGTTCTTTATATGTTTGTGTTGTTGTGAGATTGGTTGGTTGCATTGAATATTTGATGTTGAGATTGTTGTGAGAATAGCATTGAATGATGTTGATATTGTTATGGGTTTTGATGTTGAAATTGTTGTGAGAATGACATATATGTCTGGATCTTTCGGATATTTGTCTGTTTCTTTGCAGATATGTGTTTAACTAAACATGGTATTTGTCTGGGCTGGAAGGATATTTTTATATTGCTTGCCGATATTTGTTTAATGAAACATGATATTTGTCTGGGCTGTACTGATATTTGTATA